TAACAATAATAATAATAATAGTTTTAATAATATTTTTTTTTAAATATAGATGTGTTTTGGGGAAATCATTCTCAAAAACACTAAGTGAAAATATTATAAATTGCAATGTTTATATTTTCAGTGGTTTGGAACAAATTGTTGCTTCAAACTGTTGAATAATCAAAGCACTTTCTTTAGCATTTTGATCTTTGTGTTACATCATATTTTCCAATCGTCTAATATCTTTGGGTTACATTATAATTAAAATTTTTAAATTTTTACTACATCTAAATTCCTTACATTAGGAATTTCTTTATCCATAATAATTTATTTAACAATAATGGTTGAACTAAATGAACACTGAGCAAAACACCTAAAGGACTGGTACTGTTGATTTATTCATTGATCTTGTATATATGTGCATTCATTAAATATATTAGAACCCTTTGCAACAAAAATACTTGGTTACTATTTAAAAAAAAAAAAAATTAGTAACAATTATAATGAATCACATATATTACATTGTATTCATATACTAGGAATTACATATTTAAATAAACAAATTAGACATTAAATTACTTATGTTGGACTTCTCATATATAGACATGACCACGGTTCCGGTTCCGGTCCGGTTCTGGTTCCGTATTTGGTGGAACCGGAACCGGCGGTTCCGGTTGGAACCGCCGGTTCTAACCGGTATTTTTTTTTTTTTTTTTTTTTTTGTAAATTGTAAGTTTTTAAGTATTGTTAGGCCTTGAGTTTGAGTAAATTTTTTTTTTTTTTTTTTTTTTTTTTTTAAAGATGACAGTTGTAACTTGTAAGTTTAAGTGGAATAAAATGTTTAACTTTGCTATGTTTTAATACAAAGACCTTATGAGAATAGCGACCAGAGAGCATTGAAACTAATAAAGGTAATTCTTAGGCCATTAATGATTAGGATAACAAAGGAAACAAAAGACAATAAATTTTTCATTGTCATTTGTTTCCTTTATTTTTCTAAACATTAATAGACTAAGAATTACCTTTATCAGTTTCAATACTCTCTGGTCTACTCCCATAAGGTCTTTATATTAATTTATTCATAGCAAAATTAAGTAATTTATTTCACTTAAACTAAAAAAAAATTTAATAATTTTAAAAATGCAAAATTTAATAATTTTGCATTTTTTTTTATTTTTTCGGTTTGGAACCGGAACCGTCCGGTTCCGAACCGGAACCGGCGGTTCCGGTTCCAATATTATAGGAACCTTAACCGGAACCTTATAGGTTCAGGTTAAGAACCGGAACCGGAACCGTACGGACGGTTCCGGTTAGCACAGTGACGGTTCCGGTTTGAACCGGAACCGTGGTCACCCCTACTCATATATAATCTTGCATTGATATACTTTCAAATATTTAGACATTGGGTAGAAAAAATGACTGTCAAATTATTAAATCAAATGAATAGTTCAGATTTTAATTTTTCCTTGAGAGTTTCTAATTTATTCTTAATTATATGATTATTCGATCTGTTAACTTTTCCATTAAGTACCGTTAATTCACCGTTAGTCTAATTCTAATATTAAAGTCTAATATAGAATTATAACTACAACATTAATCTAATTCTAATATTAAAGTCTTAATAGAATTCTAACCACAAATCCTACTGCCGGAATCTCCTCAAACAATATTAGTATATATTTAATATTTTATGCATTAATTTTTATTTACGGTCCCTTATGTCCCGTATTTGGTTTCAACTATATCCATACAATTATTTTATTGACAATTATAATCAATCTTGACTATATTATCTTGCATTTGTAAACTTAGAATTACCAATTTAAATACGCAAATTCAACATTCAATTATCTATGCATGAACAATTCCAATATAATCTTGCCTTGATATACTTTAAAATACTTATTTAAGAAAAATATTGGGCATTATCCCAATCGCGCAATGCGCGTAAAAAAAACTAGTTTGATATATATAGCTACTATATAAATACTAGTTTTTTATCCGTTAAATATTAGCTTTTCCGTTAATTTCTGTTAGTTCACCGTTAACTTACTCATTGATTTCAATAAGAAAGGTCTTAGGTTCGAACCTCATCCCAATCAATTAGTACTCTATTTTATTCTTATTAAATTAAATAATAATTTAGTAGCTACAACAAAAAATAATACATATGCATTTCTTTAATTTAGAATTATGTGTCTACAATGTTTTTATTCAAAAAAATTATTCATTATCAATAAATTAAATAAGAGAAATAATTTCATTAGTTATATTGTATTTATTTTTCTCCAATATAAAAATTCTTTACATTCAAATTCATCAATTGATTATATTCGCTACATTTTCCCTACAATGTCTTTATTAAAAAAAATTATTCATTATCAATAAATTAATTAAGAGAAATAATTTTATTAGTTATATTGTCTTTATATTTCTCCAATGTAAAAATTCTTTACATTCAAATTTATCAATTGATTATATTCACTACATTGTCTATTATCTTTTTTGTGCACTATTTTTTAATTAAATATCAAAGTTATAATACAAAATAATGCTATATATTTATTTACCAAATATTTTATTAATACCATGAAAAAATTTAAAAAAATATATATAATTAATAAAGCCAAGCATATTAACTACTTGAGGGATTTGTTGACAAAGAGAGTATTCAAATCACACAACAAATTGAAGTGAGAACTACCTCGCAATGTCATTGTTTGACAATCAGCAGTTAGCGTTAGCGAATTTGACCAATGAATTATATCAACCGTTGGTAAAAAGATATTTGAAAAAATTAGCTGTTTAGATTAACATGTAAAATGACCTAAGGGTATACATATAACAACAACAACAACAACAACAACAACAACAACAACAATAATAATAATAATAATAATAATAATAATAATAATAATAATAGTAATAATAATTGTTTTAAAAAAATTTAAAAAATATAATTAAGCCAATCATATTAACTACTTGGGGATTTATTGACAAAAAGAGTATTCAAATCACACAACAAATTGAAGTGAGAAACTATCTCGCAATGTCCTTGTTTGGCAATCAGTAATTAGCTTTTCAATATTACTACATATTTAATATTTTATTCCCTAATTTTTATTTGCTCTCCCTTATGTCTCGTATTTGGTTTCAACCATACCTATACAATTATTTTATTGACAATTATAATCAATATTAGACTATATTATCTTGCATTTGTAAACTTAGAATTGCCTATTTAAATACACAAATTTATCAATTATCTTTGCATGAGCAATTCCAATATAATCTTGCCTTAATATACTTTAAAGTACTTATTTAAAAAAAAAAAAAACACTGGGCATTATCCCAATCACGCAATGCGCGTAAAAAAACTAGTATACTAATAAGAGCCCGAGTCTCAGTGGAGGCGTTATTGGTTCTTTGTGTTTCAGTAGGTTGAGAAAGTATATGAACAGATACTACATTATAATAGAGCCAGTAGCATTAAAAAAAAAAAAAAAAAAAAAAAAAAAAAAGCCCAAGAGAGTTAGGCCTATAATGGGTAGAAAAAATGGCGGTCAAATTTTTTAATCAAATGAATGACTCAGATTGATCAGATTTTAATTTTCCCTTAAGATTTTCTAACTTCTCCTTTAATTTTTGTTAGTTCACCGTTAACTTACTCATTCATTTCAATAAAAAGGTCTTAGGTTCAAACCTGATCCCAATCAAAGTTGACATAATTAGTACTCTATTTTACTCTTATTAAATTTCAATAAAAAGGTCTTAGGTTCAAACCTGATCCCAATCAAAGTTGACATAATTAGTACTCTATTTTACTCTTATTAAATTATAAAAAATAATAATTTAGTAGTTAATAAGAAGTAGAAGAAAAATGATGGCACACAATAAGATTTGAACTCATAACCTCTTGTTTTGAATAATTTTGAATAATAATATTGTTCACCCATGTTTCTCCCATTCTTTCATTTGGAGAAGTCCAGATTTTCTTTCTTCAAAATTGTACATGAAGTGGAAAAATGGAGGAGGAAGCAAAATTTTAGTAAACAACTTCTCCAATTTATATTTTTCCACTTCTCAATTTTTCCATTTTTCTGGGAAATTCTCCACTTTTTCTAAATTAATAATGGGTCGTTTACCAACTTGAAAAATGGAAGATTTTCCAGAAAAATTGAGAAATTGAGAAGTGAAAAAAATAAAAATTGGAGAAGTTGTTTACTGAAATCATTTCTCCAATTGCCTATCTCCTTTCCTTTTTCCAACTTCATGTACAATTTTGGAGAACTCTTATTTAGATTTCTCCAAATGGAAGAGTGGAGAATGGACGCAGGTGAACAATGCTCATAGCGGGAGGTTGACACTTTGAATCCTGATAGACGCACATCTATTTTTGCTTCTTCAGCGCCTCTTTTTCAAGTTATTATTATTATTATTATTATTATTATTATTATTATTATTATTGTAACGCTTCTTCTTTAGTTTCTTTTTCAATTTATTATTATTAGTATTATTAGAAATGCTTCTTCTTCATCTTTTTCTTCAATTTTTTATTATTACTTATTATTATTACTATTATTATTATTAGTATTGTTGTTGTTGTTATTATTATTATTTTATTATTATTATTGTAGAAAGAGAGAAATCAAAATTAAAGAAATGGAGAAGAAAAATTAGAGAATTGAAAAAATAAAAAATTGGAGAAATAGAGAATGAAAATTGAAATTTTCAAAAAAAAAAAAAAAAAGAGAATGAAAATTGAAAAATTGAAGAAATGAAAAAGAAAAAATGGAAAAACATAAAAATGAAGTAAACAACTTAACAACCCCTCAAATTATCTTTCTCACTCTACTCTGAAATTCTCCTTCTTTCTTCTCCAAGTCTTTTCTTCTGCAGTCTCCCCTTTTTCCCTTTTTTCTTCTCTGTTCAATCCCGTGGGTTGTTACAGAGTATTTTCATTTCATTCTTGAAAATAAAAACAAAGAGAAATGCTATTTTGTCTTCGTTCTTCAGTAAACATGAGCTGGAGGAGAATAAGGAGAGCAAGCTCTACTCCCATATCGCCCAATTTTACGGCGGAAATAGAAGCAGGTACGGTTTCTTCCAAATTCAGAAACAGCTTTAATGATTTAGACGATGCCCTCAATTTATTCCATCAAATGGCTCATACCCGCCCCTTGCCTAAGGTTATTATGTTCAACCAATTGCTTTGTAGAATTGTGAAATTGAAGCATTATTCCGTAGTTGTTTACCTCTTTCAAGAAATGCGCATTAAGGGCATCCCAATCAGTGTGTATACCATTAACATTGTGATGGATGTGTACTGCCGCTCAAGTCGAGTGGATTGCGGGTTTTGTGTACTTGGTGTGGTCTTCAAGTGTGGATTTGAGTTTGATGTGGTCATATTCACCACTCTGATTAAGGGCCTCTTTTTGGATAATAAGATTGTGGAGGCTGTAGGGCTATTCAAGAAGTTGGTGAGGGAAAATGTGTGCAAAGTTAATCAAATTACTTATGGTACTCTTATAAATGGGCTTTGCAAGGCAGGTCATACACAAATTGCTCTTGATTTACTTGTAGTAATGCAACAGGAGGGACCTAAGCCTAATACTATAGTCTACAACACTGTAATTGATTCTCTATGCAAAGACAGAATGGTTGATAAGGCTCTTGGCCTTCTTTCTGAGATGATTGAAAGAGGGATTCCCCCGGATATCATCACATACACTTCACTGATTCAAGGCCTTTGCAATTTTAGCCGATGGAAAGAGGTTACCAAGTTAATGAATGAGATGGTGCTACATAATGTATATCCAGATGTCTATATTTTCAGTATATTAGTGGATGCCCTCTGTAAGGAGGGGAAGTTGGAAACTGCGGAAACTACTATTCAGATCATGATTCAAAGGAAGATTTATCCTGATGTCATCACATACAACACTCTTATTGAGGGGTACTGTTTGCAAGAACGGATGGATGAAGCGAGGAAAGCTTTTGGTCGGGTGGTAGAAAGTGGCCTTCAACCTGATGTTTGGACCTATAACACATTAATTAATGGATACTGTAAAATAAAAGAAATGGATGAGGCCATGCATCTGTTTTGTGAAATTCCTCAAAAAGGGCTTCGTCCTAATGTTGTTACGTATACCATAATGTTGCAGGGGTTCTTTCTGGTGGGTAGATGTTTTGCTGCACTAGAACTTTTTCAGGAGATGCTGGTTGCTGGACATAAACCAGATTATTACACTTCATGTATCTTACTTGGTGGTTTGTGTGATAATGGATATGTTGAAGAGGCAATATCAGTCTATCATCAGTTAGATAGAAGCGGAAATTATTCTCTTGTTCATGCTACCATCATAATTGATAGGGTCTGCAAGATAGGACGGCTTAATATTGCACGTGATGTATTCAATGACCTCATCTCTAAAGGGCGACACCTAGATGTGAATACATACACTGCAATGATAAATGGGCTTTGTCGAGAAGGATTTTTAGATGAAGCCTTAGAGTTGTTAAGGAAAATGGAGAAGAATGATTGCGTACCAGATACTGTGACTTATAATGTTATTTTGCAAGAATTTGTTAGACAGGAAAAAAGTCACGAGGCAAATCTACTTTTGGATGAAATGGTTGGTAAGGTATTTCTCCAAATGAGTGCACGTTGTTCTTCATAAACGACTTACTTGCACTTAAAAGTGGAGATGAGACAGTACTAAAGGTGATGCAGAAATTTGCAGCAAATTGTGTAAAGTAACTACATATTTGGAATGTTTTAGCTTCTCTGCTTGTTCATGGATTGCTACTTTTGGAGGAATGTTTTCAAAGATTTCACTCCCATTTCAGGGATTCCACAAGTTTGGGTCTCAGCATCTATACAGATAAGGAGCTTTGGTGCATCTTTGCTGATTTGATTTGATTTGATTTGATGTGTATGTGTTGTATACATCTTGCCATACATCTCTAGGAAGGGATTTGAAGCATTCTCAGATAGGCTAAAGCTTTGCATCTTGGATTTTGGGCTCACAATTCAGACAAGCTTTTTTTATGTTCATTCTTTGCAATTCAAACCAATGTTTCTGCCATTCTTGCTCATCAAAGCTTCTGGTGTTGTGAATGAAATGAAAGTATGAAACAGGGTAACAAATCTGAAGAATTGCCAGAGCAGATGTTATGTTGTGTGCGACTGAATGAAATTGATTTATGTAAATTATCAGCAGCTAGGTAATGTTAACTGAAAATTAGATTATGGAGAAATAACAAATAATATATTCATTTTTAAAGAAAATGAACCAAATTTCTCAAAAAAAAAAAAAGAAAAAAAAAATAGTTAACTGCATTTACATAATTTGAATGTGATTTTGGATCAGGATTCAGAATGCAAGGTAGACCATGGTCCATGAAATTACTTGTCACTTATAATAGCAAGTTAGCCTCACGTCTCCTATCACGCAAGATGTTACATGGATTAGTATTTTTTTAAATCATTATTTTAAAAAAATAAAGAATTATATTAAAAAAAAAAAAGAATAAGGTCTAAATTGGCCCCTGAACGAAACGTGAAAGTGCAATTAGGTCCCTGAACGTAAAAAAAATGCAATTACCCCCCTCAACACCTCAAATATGTGCAATTTGACCTGATAGCAAGTTAACATCCCATCTAGCAGGTTGCATGTGTGACGTGAATGATGACTTGACATTTTTTTTTTTGGAAAGATGACTTGGCATTTTTTTTTATTTCCTTCTTTTGTCTTCTTCTTTACAAAACAACTAACTCTAGCAGTTGTAATATTCCACCATCGATATCTTCTCTCAAATTTACAAGCAGGATAAATTTCATGAAAAAATATTCAATTTTACATAGTTATATTAACAACGAACAAGTTAATAGCTTTCACGGGCGTGGTTTGGAAATTTCTGATGCAGGTACACGGTGAATGGAATTTCTGATGCAGGTACACGATGAATGGAATTTCTGATGCAGGTTTGGGAATTTTGATGCGTGGTTTGGGAATTTCTATTGAAGCTTTGCCTTAATACACGGTGAATGGAAGAAAAGGAAATAAAAGGAAATTAAAAAAAAATGCCAAGTCAGCATACACATCATCATATAACCGGTTGGATGGAATGTTAACCTGCTATCAGGTCAAATTGCACATATTTGAGATGTTGAGTGGGGTAATTGCACTTCTTTTACGTTCAGGGACCAAATTGCACTTTCACGTTTCGTTCAGGGGCCAATTTGGACCTTATTCCTAAAAAAAAATACAACTTGCCATGGCTCTTCGTCTTTGTCGATCAGGATGGAGAACTCGTCTTCTCCTCCATATCAACACGGATGAAGAAGCTTGGCGGGTTTCTTCGTCCAATCTAGACAAAGCAACAGGCAGCTTCTTTGTTGTCAGCAAATTTTGTTATACCAACAAGGCAACAATATATAACATCAAATCTTTACCCATTCTATTAGTTTGGTAACCAAAAGGTTCCAAATTTGACTCCCAAAATATGCGATTTATTAGCTTTATTAGGGACAACCTAGATAGACTTATCCCTTATAATTCTTTGTCAGCTAAAGTTCTCTAATAGTAGCTGAGGCTTGAGGTTTCCTTAGTCACTCAAAAAGGAGAAGTTTCTTTATGTTTCACTGAGCTAAAAGATGCTGTAATATGCAGAATACTAAAACAGACTAGTGCATTGTCTCCTGCTATACAATGCACCATTGTTTAAGTTATAAAATTTAATGTTAAAACTTTAAGCAAAGTGGCTGTAGTTTAGTGGTAAGAATTCCACGTTGTGGCCGTGGAGACTTGGGCTCGAATCCCAGCAGCCACAATTTTTGTTTTTGACTTTAACTTTTTAATCCAATTCCAGTTAGAATTCACTCGAATTTTCCATTTTTCTTTTAATCCGCGATTGGCAAATTTCAATTAATACATCTAATTCGTTTTCAAAAACCAAATTCACTATATTTTGAGTTTTGAAAGCTCCATAATTATGATCACTGTTGCAAAAATGATCAATGTTACATTCAATATTTTAGTATTAACTATTAAAACATTAAATTTTAGTTTATAATTATCAAGTCTTAAAAAATTAAAAAAAAAAATTAAATTAATTTTTAAAAAATAAAAAATACACGGGCGACTAGGCGCTGATTTATCGCTACCTAGGCACTAGGTGCTAGGCGTCCCCAAGTACCCGAAGAGTCCATAGCAATTTTTTCAACCATGATTATGATTGTGATGAAACCCATCAACAAATTAAAAGAACTACAGTACTTTGAGTCTTTAACTACTAGCTTAATTATGTGCGTGCACTAATATAATATAATTTATGTGTTGGAATAATGAAATTTCTGGAGTAAGATAATGACCCTGTTTCGTAAAATGGTTGTTAGCTGATAACTTAGCTGATTGTGTTAATTAGATGGTATAAATAGTTGATAACATTAGTTGATTGTAGAAAAGTGTTTGATAAATTAGCTGTTAACTGATAGATGTTTGGTATAATTTAATTTTTTCAAAAAACTAATTGAAAAAGTTAATTGGAGTAGCTTTTTGAATTTTAGCCTTTTGGAGTTGCAAAAATCTAATTAACCAAACATTTATATTGATATTTTAACTAAATTAAACAATTAATAGTGGTCAAATAAGTTAAAATTGGCCTATAAGCCAATTTATTACCAAACAGGGCCAATGTATTTTATGAGTTAGAATAATATATTTTATGTGTTACAATATTATATTTTATGTGTTTTTGGATCGTGTTCAACACAACGTTGAGCAGATGCACACAATAATGATTGATTTCTCAACGCTTAAATAATCATTTTAAATGGTTTAAATTGGGGCAATCACAAATCTTTCTTAGTGAAACATTATCACTTACTTTAAGCACTTCGAGAGCTTTTGAAATGGGATTGAAGGTCTTTTCTGCAACATATCAGAGAAGTAAATTTTTGTATAAATTGAATGGTAATACATTTTATAAATCTGGAATGGGGTATACATGTGATATATACTCTCCGTGTACTAACGCGTTATTGATATTATACTTATGACAAATCACTAGTACAAAGAAGCACATCCGCTACACCTGTACAAATATTTCTGCTACAATTGTAGCGGGTGCAACGGAGGAGGGTGACTGGAAAATTGCTGCGGTTTGTTTGCTCCGTTTTATATAGTTTGTCTATTGTTATTTGAGAAAATTGCACTTTTCACCTCTAAATTATACAATATTTGTATGATTCGTCCTTATTGGATGTTCTCACTTCTTGTGTCTAACAGGTCATGCTTACTTCTTGTCCCTAAATTATAACTAACGTTGCAAATTTCATCCTCAATGTTTTGTTAGAAAAATAAAAAAAAAAAAAATTTACAACGTCAGTTATAGCTTAGAGATGAGAAGTGGGCATGATCAACAAGTAGAGACAAATCCTACAATTGCCTATTATTTAGGATAAAAAGTACAATTTTCCCATGTTTTATTTTAAAATTAATAGCATGCGTTATTTCTAAATTGAGATAACTTTCTTCTACTTTAACTTTATCATGTGATGGAATATATATAAGTGATCGGGCTGGCCTAGCACAATTCAATATCAATTATTATTGTGTGGATCATGGTCTACAGAGCTGTGTGAATTACGGTCTAAAAATACATAAAATACATTATTTTAATTCATAAAATATATTATTTTAACACATAAAGTACATAATTCTAGCTCATAAAATACATTATCTTATCACAGAAATTTCATTTTTCTAACACGTACACATAAAGTACATTATTCTAACTAATAAAATATATTATTTTATCCCAAAATTTATTATTCTAATACATATAGAGTACATTATTCTAACTGATAAAATATACTGAGTATTATTTTATCTGAGAATGTTTATTATTTTAACACGCGTATGAAACAATAATTTTTTTTAACATCAAAACTAATATCTTATATCCTGCACCAGGGCGCGCATTGCATTGTGCGCCCTGATGCAAAATGACGTCGTTTCAGAGTTTTTTTTTTTTTTTTTTTTGAAATTTTGCTACCCTGTGTTGGCGGTTAATTTTCTTTTAAAAAAAAATCTCATGTTAAAAAATGTACATAATTTTATACTAGAATACACATAATTGTATACATGAATGTACATAATTGTATAACAAAATACACATACTTTTTTTAAAAAAGATAATACATATAATCTAACATAATATATAATATACATAAAATTTTAACATAATAAACATCAACTCTTAACATAATACACATAAATTTCCTGTTTCGGATGTACATAAATGTATAAAAAAGATGTACATGATTGTATAAAAATGTACATAATTGTATAAATAAATACACATAATTGTATAAACAAATACACATAATTGTATAAACTTTACATATAATAACGTCAACTCCCTACATAACTTATCAAAACGACATCGTTTTGGGAGGCGCAGGGCGCACAGTGCTATGCGCGCCGTGGTGCAGGTATAATGATTGTTATTTTGAACTATGGTCTGAACCCCACACAATAATTTGCCAATCCAATATATAACAAACTAAATGGGAGGGTATGACTTTTTTTTTTTTTTGAGAACAATAAACTATGACTTTTAATTTAGTATTTATTTATAATTTAAAAAAAAAGGGGAATAAGGGTCAAATAGGCTATCGAACTACACACAATAATACAATTAGACCACTGAACCTAAAAAAATAACAATTGGGTCCCTAAACTAACAATTTTCATACAATTAAACCAATTTACAGGTTTTGCAAGTTAGTAACAGGTCACCAAATTTTAAAATATATATTTTTAATTATTATTTAAAAATAATAATTTAAAATTAAAAATTAAAAAAAAAAAAAAAAAAAGTTTAACCGTCTCCGCCGGAGACGTGTTTCTTCGTCTCCATGGCCGGAGACGAAGAAACTCTTCGTCCCCAGCCAGAGACGGCAGAGCGAAGAAACGTTTTTTTTTCTTTTTTTTAAAAAAATTTTAATTTATTATTTTTAAATAATAATTTTTAAAAAAAATTATTTTAAATTTTTTGGGTGACCTGTTACTAACCTACAAAACCTGTAAATTAGACTAATTGAATGAAATTTGTTAGTTTAGTAGCCTAATTGTTGTTTTTAAGGTTCAGTGGCCTAATTGCATTATTGTGTGCAGTTCAATGGCCTATTTGACCCTTATTCCTTAAAAAAAAAATACATACATACATATACATATGCAATTTGCCAAATTGATTAATGTTGTTAGAGTAATCGACCGATATTCCCAACCGTAATGCTTAAATTGATGATTGACAAATACCTAAATATGTTCCTAAAACGCATCAATTGAATACCAAATTATTTACAAGAGGATCCTTATTAAAATTCTAAATTTGTTTTGTAGTTAAAGTTATGTGAAAAAAAAAAAAAAAAAAAAAAAAAAAATGAACTAATTGAAAACAAAATCTACTCTTAGGTAGGCCCATCCCAACCATTTTGTCAATTTCCCTCTTGTATGTTGAAATGAATTTTTTTGTCCACCATACATTGTAAGAAAAGCTTGAAATTAAGGAAGAAGACATTATGTAGAGTTGAATATAATGAAGGGTTAAGTCCAGCACAACTAGGGGACTGTTTGACGAAGGCTTGAATTATACAATTAGGGTCAAGTTCAGCATCCTGCCTTTCGACAATGTGGCGGCATAAAGAAATAAAGTTGTGTAGTCTTTGCTACTAACTATGGAGGTGTTTAGTAAATAGTTGTTAATTAGCTGATAGTTTTTAATTTTTTGGGTTTATGAGTTTGACTAATTGATAGCATTGGTTGATTGTAGAAAAGTGTTTGGTAAATTAGCTGTTAGCTGATAGCTGATTATACACAAAATAACTTTTGGGTAGTGGTAAACCCTAGATCCAACAACAAGTGGTTTCAAAGTTAGGACACGGGCCCTAACCTGTCGAAAATGTGGCGGTACGTATGTATAAAGAAATAAAGTTACGCATTCACTACTGTAATAATAACTTTTGGCGT